AAGTCTGGGCTTAGTGTCCTGTGTTTGGGAAATAACACTGGGGAGTCACAGTGTGTCCGGGGGTAAGGAGGGTGGAAAAGCAGCAATGGAAATCCCAGCAAAAAGAGGTTGGGCCACCAGGCTATGGCTGACCAGAACGAGACAGTCAGTTCTGTGCTGTAGAGCTGCCAAGGGCAGAGACAGGTAGGAAGAGCATGTATGAAAAGCAGAGAGGTAGGGGCCCCAGGGGCAGGGGGAATGACAGGCTTTGTGGACTACGGCCAAAGCAAGTATAACCAGGAGAGTAGTCAGTCAAATTAGCCTGATGCTTGAGCTGACCTGGACCACTCACCTCTGTGGCCCACCCTAAGAAACCTGCCTTCTGTGAGCAAGCCGGGCACTGACCCCTCCTCAACCTCCCCACCACTGATCTTCTCTTCACCTGCAGGGGCCAGAGAGTGGTGCAGTCTTGGTGTGTGGTCTGTTCCCAGGTGGGGGGTACCTGGATAGCATTGTTGCGCCACTTAAAGTCTGAGAACCAACTCCTGCCCTTTCCTCAGCCTAAGTACAGTCCCTGAAACTCTCTTGGGTCCCAGAGCTGGGCTCCAAAGTGTTCTTCTCACCTGGGCTCAGCACCCAGCACACCCTGTAACTCTGGTTAATGACCCTGTGTCTTTGGCCTTACGCTTGCACATCTGTAAAATGAGAAGTGGCCTCTGTCCACGCCTTTGGCACAATTCCCTCCCTGGCATCAGCTCCAAATGGAGCTGGCTGGCAATTCAAGCGGAACCAGAGGTGGGATGGCCCTCCACGGTACGGGTCTGAAAGGAGGAGAGAGGAAATGGCTGGGACCCATGACTCCTCCGCACCCAGGAAAGCCCTGAAAATACTGACTTTTGGTCTTCCATCTCCTCACTCACACCCTGACTTGGTTGTTGACGATGGTGAAGGCGGATTCCAGAGCGAGAAAAGAACTTGGTTGTGTGTCCTCCTCAGGCTCTGGGAAAGGAGGCGGTATGGCACATTGCCCACCTATCCAACACAGTGTGTAGCACTTCTTGGGGCTGTGCAGGAGGAGGCCTTACTTAGAACTATCCTGGGCTCCAGGAAGCACTGGTCTACTACCTACTGATATCTCCACCTGGATGCCCCCATCACCCTGAACTGAGCCTCGCCCACAAGAGTTTGGTTGTTGACGATGGTGAAGGCGGATTCCAGAGCGAGAAAAGAACTTGGTTGTGTGTCCTCCGCAGGCTCTGGGAAAGGAGGAGGTATGGCACATTGCCCACCTATCCAACACAGTGTGTAGCACTTCTTGGAGCTGTGCAGGAGGAGGCCTTACTTAGAACTATCCTGGGCTCCAGGAAGTACCTACTGATATCTCCACCTGGATGCCCCCATCACCCTGAACTGAGCCTCGCCCACAAGAACACAACAGCTCCCCACCACACACACACACTGTTTTGAGACAAAGTCTCACTAAGTTGCCCCAGCTGGCCTCGAACTTACAACACCTATGTGTCAGTCTCAGAGGTAGCTGGGATTTGGGATTACAGGTTCCTCCACCCTTTTAAAATGACACCAGTCTCACAGGATCTCAACTTCCAAACCTCTGGCCCTTCTGACTTTCCTCCCAGCTCTTCCCAAATCCAGTCAATCTTGGCCCAAGATGTCTGCTTTTCTCTATCTTTTCGGCCATGGAGTCACTCAGAGCATTTGTTAGATATCTGAGTCAAAGTACTGTACAAATCCTAATTTCCTTACTTCTCATAACCTTTGGTGTACAGATGAGGAAACTGAGCCACAGAAAAGTTAAGTGCCTTGTCGCAGGCCCAGACTTGGGCCCAGGTAAGCAGCTCCAGAGCCTAAACTGTGAGCCTCTGACACAGGAGCTATCGGAAAATCTGCAGGCTTCCCTCCTTGCACCTTCAGTCTCTCCTTTCAACTCCTCCCACATGCTGCTGACAGAGGAAAACTTCTTCCTTCCTTATTTAAGAAGAAGCTATAATCACAAAAATTACGACGGCTGTTTCATGTCATGTCATCACTCTGCTCAAAAAACATTCAAAATTCCTGCTACATCCCAACATCACGCAAATAGAATAAAGCCCATCTCCAGGTTGGAGGCTCAAGGATGAGACCCCACAACTTCCCAGTTCTGTAGAGCACTTCACCACTCTCAGCTCCCAGAAGGCACTCATTCCTCTACTTATCCTCACACCCCCAGCACTGCCCACCCCCTTCCTGCCCAGTGAAGGGCAGGGGCAGAGCCTGAGTGGACTGTCCTCCTTGAAGAAAGGCTGCACCTTGATTCCCTTTAATCACCAAAGCTCCTGCCACAGTATGCCACGAAGAGACGCAGGACAAGAATGGTGAATAAATGAATAAATGATCACCTGAATAACTGTGGAACTCAGCCGCTTGATGAGGGTGGAAACTAATTGTCCCAAACAACATCTGTGGAACCCTTAAGGCTAACGCTTAATAGCTAACACCCAGAGCTCACTGTGTTGGGCACTGCATAAAGCACTGTGTATATATTACCATGCAATCCTCACTATAGGCCTTTGGAGTTGGCGCCATCACTACCCTCCATTTTATGGGTGATAGAACTGAGGCTTTGTGAAGGGAATTCACTTATCATACAGCTTTCAAGCAGAGGAGCTAGGATCTGCCTCTGTGGCCTGTGCCATGACCACTTCACCAGATTACCCATCTCCAGACGCCAGATGAATGTTCCACAGTATTCCAGCTTGTCAGTGTCACTTGCGCTGACGATGTCCAAGTGTCTGAGGAATATAAGGATTTTGCATAATGCACTTTACTAATGTACCAAACATTTATTAACATACTAGAGCTGTGCCAGGAACAGATACAGACTGATGACAAACACCCCATAATTACCTCCTCATACAGCTGATAGTCTGGTGGGAGGTGGAGATAGAGGAAAGAAAAACCAGAGAGAACTCAACAAAAAGTCAGAGGTGACAACTGCTATTAGGAAAATAAAACTCCAAGAGGAGAAAGCAGTTATTGGGTTGCTAGGCAGGGTCATGTCGGTGGCTTTGCCACTGTGTCCTAGAGGAAGAGGTTCTCCTCCTTAAGACCATGTCTGCACAGGGCAGTGAAGACAGTGAGGAAGTGAGCCATGCAGTGTTCCAAGACAAAGCCAGTGCAAAAGCCCTGAACCAAGAAAGGAGCAGCCAAGAGGTGTGCATGGCTACAGCCAAGGAATGGGGGATGGGGAGCAGCAGGTGGGATTCACAAACATGAAAATGTGAAAGCCTACACAAAGTCAGGCTCCCTATAATGCCACACCCCCGGGAAATATTAATAGCCACAATTTATTGAGTGTGTTCTGTGTGCCTGGCACTGTACTCAGTGCTGCCAACACAAAAACTGCATCAACAGGATCCTTAGAGTCTGACGTGGAGACAAACATTCCACAGTACTATGTAAAAGGCGCCACGTCAGGGTGCTCTGAAACTACAGGACAGGGGCATCTAAACCTCAACTCAGGGGCAAGCAAGGAGGCTTCCTGGAGGAGGTGGTACCTGAAGCACCTAGCAGGTGCAGGGAAACACCTTGGGAACCCAGATGTGGGTGGAGAGGGCAGACAAGCCCGGAACAGTTCAAGCAGCAGTGCCGTGGGCTGAGACAGCTCGCTGGAGGAAGGGCTTGGCATGCTGGGCCTGAGGATACATCTGGCCAGAGAGACCCAGGTTTAAATGTGCCATGAGAATGGGTTATGGAAAGCGGGGAGGAAAGCAAGAAGAGTGGGAAACTTCCATAGCTCCTCGCTCATTCATTTCCTGGCTCTCCCGCTGGTCTGTAGGTGGGGCTAGCTGGAGGATGACCCGGAAGTGGAAAGTGCATGTGCATGGCCCAGGTCTGGGTTTCTCATTCCGCTCTAGGAAGGTCAGGCCCTTGCTTTTAGTCTGCACTCGAAGACCTCACGCTGGTATAGCCCAAGCCTGCAGTAGGAGATTCCTCAGTTAATGATATCAACGCAGGCCCTGGCAGCGCTTACTGGTCTTCAGGGCGCTTTTTTTTTTTTTTTTTTTTTTTGTACTGGGGATCAAACTCAGGACGTTGCACTTGCAAGACAGGCGGCAGCACCACTTGGCCCTCTTCGAGTTGCTTTTGCCACTGTAGCCTGTGTGGTTTTACAGTCAACCTGGGAAGACTGAGACGTACTTTTAGCCTCCTTTTCATAAGAGATGCTACAGCTCAGAGAGATTAAGAAACTTTCCCAAGGTCACACAGCCAATAGAAGACTAAACTGGGACTGGAGCCCAGTTGTGAGATGGCAAACCTCATGGTGACACTGCAGCAGCTGAAGAAACTGGGGCCTGGTAATGGCAGAGTCCCGAGAACAGCACTGGGGAAGAAGGTGTACTGGGCCAGGGGGTGGGGGTGGAGTTGGGGGGCTGGAGACTGAGTGGGGAGAGTAGCCATGGAGAGGCTGAGATAGAACTAGAGGTGTCTCCAGAAAACCTGGAGTCTTTCTGAGTTAAATGTCCCAACGGGGTTGCAAAAGAAGGAAACTATCCTCCCCAAGTCATTTCTCTGTGAAACAAGGGACAATGGGACTTACTGCTCCCATTTCACAGGTGAGAAAAGCTGAAGGAGGGAGACCTGGTACCTGCCTTGCCCGAGACCCATAGGGCCCAAGGGCCCTGTCAGAAGCAGCCGGGCAGACAGGACATCCAGAAATTTCCCATTCTGCCGTGGATGATGAAACAGAGAGGAAAAGAGGCAAACTAGGGTTGGAGACAAAAATGAAGACCGCGTTCAAACGTGGAGGGGGACCGAGGCAGAGGTGTGCGGGTAGCTTGCCAAGATGGTGGTGAGAAGAGGCCCCGACACCCAGTTCTGGTTACGGGCAGGCGGCAGCAGCATCAGCTGGTCGGGTGTCGCGGAGTCCCGTGCCTCCTCCCTCCCCTGCGGACCCATCCACTTGAGCCGCCCCGCACCTCTGAGCCCAGCCCCTGAGGAGGGGTGAAGGGACCGGGAGGGGGCGCCGAGGAGGGAGCGGTGCGCGCCTCCCTCCTGGGCTTCCTAAAGCGCAGCCTCCTTCTCCTCCTCCTCCTTCTCCTTCTCCTCCGCATCCTCTGGCCAGCGCGGCCTGCTCCCCCTGCGCGCGGATGGTACGCTCCGGTCCGCCTGTCCCGGCTGCGGTGGATGTTGCTAGAACCCACGCGGAGGAAGGAAGAGACGCAGGCAGGCTGCGGTGACCCAAGCGGCCGCCCCTGCCTCAGGGACCCCTTCTCCGAGAGACCGGCAAAATGACCCAGGGAAAGGTACCAGCATCTCCCCTGCCTGCACCATCCTGCATCCTCTGGGCTCCCTCTCTGACTCGCTCTAAGCATCCTCCCCGGGCTCTAGTGCAAGGGTCCTCTATGTTCCTTGCTGAAGTCTTAGGATCAGAGCCTCTCTCAGCCCCGGGTTCTCCTCCCCTTCCCTCTCTCCCTTCCACCCATGCTTTGGCACCACAAGACTTTCCAGGTGCCCAGACCCTCAAAAGGGTGCCAGTCTGGATGTGCAGTGTGATTGTATGTGTGTGTGTGTATGTACGTATGTGCCAGGGTAAGCTTGCAGGGCAATACCCGTGAGCGTCCCTCCAGTCCAGACCCAGCCGCTGTGTGGTCATTCTTCACACCCTCCGCAGAACACCACCCCACCCCAGCTCCCTGTCATCAGTCCATATCTGAATATTTGAATACATCCCCTGTGTTTCGGGGTTACTATGGCAACCCCGGTTCAGGATGCTCAGGTTTTTGTTTTGGTTTTGACAAGGCATGGAACTGGATAAAAGCATATATATTTATTCTCTCTCTCTCTCTCTCTCTCTCTCTCTCTCTCTCTCTCTCCAGTTTTAGGCATAATTGAAGGGGGGGGTGTAGAGAGACTTGGCTGACCCAGCAGGATTATGTAACATCAACAGCCTGTGGAATTACACAACCACTAGGGCCCAGGGCAAAGAAGAAGGGTCCTCTGGCCCTCTTTGGGGAGTATTAAGGGTTGGGCAGAAAAGACAGGAGAAGGCCCTCCCCCACACACCCCTCCTTCCCTCTGAGACAGGTATCAGCGCCAATGACATCCCTGCTGGGCCCTCAGACCTTCCTCTCCATTTTTAAGCTCTTTGGGCTTCACAATGATGTCATTGGGTGCTACCACTTCCTGCCATTGGCCAACAGTCCATTGGGAATGCCAGATGTGTCTGGGAGCTGGGGTAGGGCCCAAAAGGCTCTGGAGGTCTTCATGGCAGGTTGGAGCTGAGCTGAGTTTTCCTCTGGCCTGTGTTGAGAAGGGGGTCGGGAGTGGAGGTGACACATTCCACCAGGCCTGGGGGTGTTGAGTGAAGTGCAGATGAAGGGCCCCACGACCACACCACCATTGCCTGAGCCTCCCTTCCGCCCTTCACCACTCCCCACCAATAAGTGCGCTGGCCCCTGTTGCTGTCCTGGGGTGTACATCTCCCCTGCCCTATTGGCCCCTCACCCCCACAGGCTTTCTGGGGGATGGACAGGACTCCAGTCCAGTGGTCCATGGGCCTGGTCGGAAGCAGAAGTCTTCAGTGCTCACCCTCTCTGGACAGCCTGAGCCAATGCCTGCACAGGAGTCCTGCAGCCCCCTCAGCAGCTCTGCGGCTGCTGGGCGTTTTGGAGCCAGACTTAAATGCCACTTTCTGAGTCTTGTCCTTTTATTTCTGTCTCTGATTTCACACACTCCCTCCATGCCACTCTCCTTTGCTGGCTTCATCATTCAGACCTCCAACTCACACATCTTCCCGCCAAAGGTATACGTGTGCGAGACAGGATAGAGGCATCTCTGAGTATAACCAGAAGTGAGTTCTCAACCTACATCACCCTCTGGGCTGCAATTTCCTCACCTGTGAAACATAGAAAGGGACCAAGCTAGATACCTTCTGAGGTCACTTCCGCAGTCACATTTTACGATGCTATCCCAGTTTGGGGGAGAGGCTGAAGTTCCTATGGAGCAGGCCGGAATAGAGTCTTAGAGGGGCACCTCCTGCCTCCCCTCTACCCTGCAGTCCCTTTTCTTGCTCTTCTCGCTTTCTGTTGCCCATCTCTCTCCATCCTAGGCTCTTAGCCCCGGTGGGGCCCATGTATGGCCCTGTGACCTCAGATGAGTCATTACTCCTCTCTAATCTTTAATTCCCTCATTGTAAAACAGAGATATAAAGCCTACTAGCCAGGCCCTTCTTTGGACTCTAGTGAAATACTGGGACCATAGTAACCCAGGCCCTGCCACATGGCCAGTGATCACTAATGGTGGACACTCCTAAGAATCATCTCCTTTCTCTGTTCTTATCCCAGCTCCACTGTATGCCCCTGGCCAGCCTGACTCTCCTGGAGCTCAGTTCTGCTCTCAATAAAAACAGGGAGCTTTTTGTTTTTAATTATTTTATTTTTTGTTTTGCAGCACTGGGGGGATTGAACCCAGGGCCTGTGCCCTGAGCTACATCTCTAGCCCTTTTTATTTTGAAACAGGGTCTCAATAAGTCACTAACTCCCCAGGTGGGGCTTGAACTTCCTATCTTCCTGCCTTAGGCTCCCCCGAGTGCTGAGATTACATGCTTGCCCCCACCACACTTGTTTTTGAGATAGTTCTCACTTTGTAACCCAGGCTGGCCTCAAACTTGCAATCCTCCTGCCTCAGCCTCCTGAGTGCTTGGTAGTCATGCCCATTCTTGTTCACACTCCTGCTCGTCCTGTGCAAAAACATACCCAGAAGTTTCCAGGAATTGAGGGGCTGGCCAGGAGGGGTTGGAAGGCTCTCCTTCCCTGGTGACTGTCTTTTTCTCTTCCTCTATTCCACAGCTCTCCGTGGCTAACAAGGCCCCCGGGACTGAGGGGCAGCAGCAGGCAAATGCTGAGAAGAAGGAGACTCCAGCAGTGCCCTCAGCCCCACCCTCCTATGAGGAAGCCACCTCTGGGGAGGGGTTAAAGGCAGGAGCCTTCCCCCCAGTCCCCACAACTATGCCTCTCCACCCCAGCTGGGCCTATGTAGACCCCAGTAAGTCTCTCAGCTCCTGGGGCCTGGGGCTTCAGGGAGAATTGTGGGCTCCAATGAAAAGCCTCAATAGAAAGAAGCTGCCCAGTGCCGGGCATGGTGGCGTATGCCTGTAATCCCAGCACTCAGGAGGCTGAGGCAGGAGGATCGCTGTGAGTTCGAGACCAGCCTGGGCTCCGTAGTGAGTTCTAGGTCAGTCTCAACTATATTGAGACCCTGTCTCACAAAAAAAAAAAAAAAAAAAAAAAAGAAAGAAAGAAAGAAAATGAAAGGAGCTTCCCAAATACAAGATGTGCTATGTGGTTGTTGTACAAAGCCATGCTGCTGAAAGATTAAGATTTGGAGGATGGTTCTAAGTTTAAGTCAGAGATGACTCCATATGAGATGTCTGTAGTCAAGGAGCTTTCAGATAGGGAAGAGGGGCTTTTTTCCCCCCAAATCACCAGGGTAGGACAAGTAGAGGAGACAGTTGGGGGACAAAAACCAAGATCCAGTCTAGAAAGGCCCTCCTGGAAGAGAGAGACCCAGAGGCACAGAGAGAGATCAGAGTGATCAGAAAAGGGCAGAGTAAGGCTGCAGCTGGCCGTAACCTTGGCCGGACTCCATGCCCTATGGAGGAGGGTGAAGCTTTTACACACTACACATTGTACTACTCTGAAACAAAAGCAGGGACAGGTCGTTGTGGAGGCCTCAGAGCTGTTGGAGGCTAGGGATCTGGGGATCCACCTTACCAATCACGCTCCTTGTCCCCCGCCCTTCCCCAGCCTTCGTTGTGGGGAGGAGGGCATGATGTGAGAAAGCTGTGGGAACCACCCTCAACATCATTTCTCTGGTAGCCTGGCACAGCTCACAGGCAGGGAGCTCATAGGTAGATGCCAGCCCCGGCCATCAAGGATCCAGCCAGTGTGAGATCCACTTCTGGGCTTAGCAGCCTGTAGGAGCTTTGCCTCGGGGCTGGGTGGCAAAGCTTCCCCCAGGCTGTAAGAAGGGTCTCTCTTAGCTGGGTGCTGAAGCACACCATTGTAAGCCCAGCACTCAGGAGGCTGAGGCTGGGAGTTCAAGGTCAGCCTAAATTACATAGAGAGACCCTATCTCAAAAAACCAAACCAAAAATGAAGGGGCCCTCTTAAATTCTGTTCAGCCCCTTTCCCTGTGCCTCAGCGGCTCCTCCCCTCCCCCACTTTGCCGCTGCCTGCAGAATTCTAGAAGGGATCCCAGGGACAATGGCCCAGACATATCCCCTGTTCACAGGGAGTGGTCACTATGGTCCACACCTCCTACCACAAACCCACTCGTCCTCAGCCTAAAGCCTGGAACAATCAACCCAGTGTAAACTATTGGAAGGTTCCTGCAGGTCTGGTGTTCGTGGGACCCCTTCTCACTGCCTAACATCTGTGGGACTGCTCCCCTCCTCCTCTCCCTCACTGTGGCCTGGCCAATGGAGTTAGCGGGGGAGTAGGCAGAAATGCAGGGAGAAGTAAAGCACAGACGGCAGATGTCTCAAGCGCCCAGGACCCCTCTCATTTCTCACACGTCCTTTGCCAGGATGGGCTACTTTTCTTCAAGGAATGTTTTCCAAGGAATTGTTGAGGCAGGAAGACCGCGCCTTTTAGTCAGCATGTAACAGACATTTGTAAGTGTGTGCCAGGCAGTGTCTGGCTCTGAGCTCATTTCAGGGGCTACAGAGACCTGCGCAGATCACTGTCCTCACAGGCTGACCGTGTGGACAGTGAGTGGACCTCTACCACACAGTGATACAAATGCAGTGTTAGAGGCCTGGGCAGCTCACCTAAGCCCCGGCGAGGCAGGGAGAGCTTCTTGGAGTCAGGGGTGCCCACCCTGAGTCTTGATGGATGCCATGAGTTAGTCTGGTGAGGAGGCAGAGAAACGAGTGCTCAAGGCCGAAAGAACAGGATGTTCAGGGGTTCTGAGGCAAGAGAGCACGTGGCTGAAGAAATGCACACGGGCCGAGAACAGTGGGAGGGAGGAATGTGCAGGGCCCTTGGAAGACTCCGTTCACAGAGGTTGTGGAGGCTTTAAGGGACTTGATCTTGAGCGATGGGCAATAGGGAACCATTGAAGAGCTCAAAGCACAGCAGGGTGGTCAGCTCTGAGGACCAGAACAGAGGCTGTTGATGGGAGGTGGGGGGCATTGTGAAGGCCTGGTGGGGAGAGTGGAGTGGAACAGAGTGGACACACCTGAGGACTTGGGGATGGCCCTGAAAATTTTGGGAGAGGAGGTGATAGTGTGGTCCTCAGCAGTAACAGAGCACAGAGGCTTTCATTTGTGTCTAATTTGGTCCCTATGAGATGGGAATCCCATTCCTGGGATCAGAGAAGCCTGTTCACACCACTTTAGCCCTGGAGGACGGATCCCCCTGTTTGTGGGATCTGTGTGTGGAGTCCATAATCTTCCAGAAGTCTGAGTTCTGGGACCAGGCTCCAAACCTTCATCCCCACCCCACTTCCCACTCTTGCCCTGGCTCTGTTTTCCCTCCAGGTTCCTACCTGACCCTGATTTCCAGCTCTAGGACCCACAGGTCTGGCACATGCCGTCAGTCTCCACCTCGAGGGCCTCAGAGAAAGCAGGGGTCAGGATTTTGACTCTGGGATGGACTAAGTGACCTAGAGAATGGCTGTCCTTTCCCGATCGTTAGCCACAAGGGAGCCAGAGTGTTCAGGGAGAGGGATGGGGACACAAGATGGAAGAGCCACATTTGACTTCCAAGAGCTCCAGCCATGGTAGAGGAAAAGGGAAGGAACATGACAGTTCATTCCCAGGACCCAGAGCAGAAAAAGCAAGAAGCAACCAGGGAGAGAGTTCTAGGGGGAGTCTGGGGTATTTTATAACGGGGCCAGAGAGAAAGACTTCAGTGGGTCAGAGAGTCAGCTTGACCAAAAGGCAGCTCTGAGCAGGTGGCCTCGAGGCATATTTCTCTGCATGAGGAGCCCTCACACCTTCCACCTGCCCACCCAGGCAGCAGCTCCGGCTATGACAATGGTTTCCCCACCGGACACCATGAGCTTTTCACCACCTACAGTTGGGATGACCAGAAAGTTCGCCGGGTTTTCATCAGAAAGGTAATTGCCTCTCCCTGACTCTCCAGGACTCTGGGAGCTTGGTAGAGAAGCCCTTCAAAAATCCCCATATCTTGCCTCTGCCTACAGAAGCTGTTGTCCCCTTCTCTGGTGACCCTATGGGAAAGTGTTGCATAGGTTTCACTAGGGCCCAGCGCACTCTCCTCTGGTTACCATGTGGCTGCCACTCCTGTGGCTCTGTCTCTGGGACCCCCCTTGCTTTCCATTCGTCCTGGGTTATTTCCATTGCTCCTTAAGGAGGGAGGAGCACCCAGGAAGCAGGTCTGAAGATTTGAATGAGTTACTGGGAGCTGGGATCTCACCGAGCCCTGCTGGGAGACTGAGCCTACCTGGTCTCTCTTACCAGGTCTATACCATCCTGCTGATCCAGCTGCTGGTGACCTTGGGTGTCGTGGCTCTCTTTACCTTCTGGTGAGTTGGTGATACACACTGGCACCTTCCAGGGTTGGCCATAGCCGGGTCCCCTGGAAAGACGGGGAGGAGCACTTCTCCTTGTTCTGGAGAAGAACCCTAAGAGCGCATAATGCAGGCTGGGGGTGATGCTGGGCATGGTGGGGCACTTCCAGCATTCTGGAAGACTGAGAGTGTGAGGAGTCCCCATTCAGGGTAGGGTGGACCCTGCTGTCCTCTGGGCCTGTCTTTGCTTTCTAATCTACCAAGGGGCTGGGGATTTAGCTCAGTGGTGCCACACCTACCTGGCAAGCGTAAGGTAAAAAGTCATATAAGCTTGTCTACCAGCCATATCCCCAGGCCACCTCAGGTCTCAGCCTGGGACTGGAGCTAGACCTCCCAGAGCCTTCGGGGGGTGCAACCCTCCTCCCTTATAAATCCTGCGAACTGTGCTGGGTAGATACAGATGTTGAATAAGAAATAGAGACCTAGGGTAAATTCTGACTCTCTGTCTCTGCCTTCTCTGCAGTGACCCTGTGAAGGACTATGTCCAGGCCAACCCAGGCTGGTACTGGGCATCCTAGTGAGTATACCCCACCCTTACATCCCAGAGGAAGCCCAGTGGCGGGCAGAGGAAGTCTCTGTTCCACTGTCGGAGCCAAAGCCAGGGCTTCCCCACACCCCATGGGGACTGACCTCACAGATCCCCAGCCCTGCCCTGTTCTGCTGGCTTCAGAGCAGAGCAAGAGCCTTTCTGGGCTGTGACTATCTGATGGCATAGATGGGAGATGGAAGTAGGTTCTGGCTCCTACACAAGTTGGGAGGGGCAGGCTGATGCCACGGCTGGAGAGACCTTGTGCCTTGGCTCTAAAGGGGAGGGGTCTGGAACAGTTTGACCTACACTAATGATAATATTGCTACTCTTATTAACACCATTATTATTAATGCTTACGAAAGTATTAATCATAATAGCTACCACTTAAAGAGTGCCTCATAAGGGCTGGGCATTATTCTTTGTGCTTGATAGACAGTGTTGCACTGGATCCCCAAATCTACTGCCATGGTTACTTCACAAAACTAAGGCTCTGAGAACTTGAGTAATTTGCCCAAGGTCACACAGCCTGTCAGTGGAGCAACTGGGATTCAAACCCAGGATTCAAGTTAAGGCTTGTGCTCTTAATCCCTCTGCTTGGCAGTCTCCCTTCAGCCTCAAGCCACTTGGTTCTGTCTGGTCCTAACACGAGGGACTAAGGAAGGCAACTTGGGAGAAGAGGTGTGAAGTTATATGTAGGTGATTCTCATCCTCCTGTCTGGGGAACTAAGGAGTAATTCTGGATAATTCCAGGCCAGAACCACTCTGGGGCTCAGAGATGAAATGATCTTCCTGTAGGCTCCCTCAAGACCCACTGCTAGCTCAACACTATACTGGCGCTCCTGGGGAGTCAGCCTCTTTAGGGAAAGGGAGTGGGCAGTAATCAAAGATGCAGCATTCAGGGGAGGGGAAGGTGTGAGCTCAGGCACAGGGCACTCAGCCCACAAAGGGGTGTACCTCAAAGGATGGGCCAAAAAGACTGGGGACATCACTGCCAGCAGAGAAATGGCTATAAGCAAAAGTGCAGGAGTGAGAATGCATGTGATCCATTTGATAAACTAGGAAAGGGACCAACAGAGGGCTGGAAAGATGTCTCAGAGCATAGATGGCAGAGCTCTGACCACCAGCTGAGGAGCCCGCACCCTGTGGCTGTTCCAGGCGGGCTGCTGGATAAGGATCTGGTGGAGACTGGACTTAGCCCAAAGCCTCTGGGGACTACCCTGAGCCCAGAGTGCTCAGAGTTGGGCCCAGAGAGAGCATAAGCCAGCCAAATGCTGACAGTAAGGAGACTCATCCTGGCCTCTGGGGCTCATTGGAGGAACAGAGCTGCCTCTTCAAGCTGGGGTTCAGGGAAAGAGAGGTGCATACCCAGGCGTGGCACAGAGGCCCTGTCTGCAGACCTGGCAGAGGCACGTGTCTTGGGGAGCTAGGTGGCACTGTATGATAAAGCTAATGAGGCCCCAGGGACTACCACCCTGGCCAGGCCACTGACGGGTTGACATGGCTCCCAGCACGTCACCACTGCCTGGCAGCCTCAGGCCCCCTGAGAACTCGGGGATAGAGTCCATAGGCCCAGAGAGGGCCTTCTTTGTGAGGGTCTGTGGGATTCCATGCCTCAAGCAGATGGTTGAGGGGGACAGTCCAGAAGTGGGGCAGAGCACATTCTATTGTGTGTGCTGCAGGAGGCAGGGAGGCTGGGAGAATCTGGCTCTGAATGGGGAGATTTGGAACCCATCTCCTCACCGGCTCCAGGCTGAAAACAAAATGTGAGTTGTGCTGTGCGCCTTCAGGATAGGTGCATGTGGAGAAAAGTCAGAACTAGGTGTGGGCTACGTACTTTAGATGCTGGCCTTTTCCTCCGGAAAGTCTGCCTAGGTTTTTGCCCTGTGCTGTGTTTACTCCTCCACTCTCCCTATCCTGCCTGAGTCTGTTTCGCTCTGGGTCCACATGAATCTCACCTCCTCCAAACCACCAAATGCTCCCAAAGAGTTTCCACCTGTTTCTTTCTTTTAGAAAGACAATAATAGCAATGAGAATAAAACTGCTTTTTTTCTGTTTTTTTTCATTGAGTTTATTCTCATTGCTATTATTGAGCCAAGTTGACATATATTTTTCAGTGGTCCTTTCAGCAATGCTGCCAAGTGGGTACTATTATTATCCTCATCCCACAGATGAGGAAATTGAGACTGAGAAGTTATCGCTTCCTGAGCAATACAGCCAGGATACAACTAAGGTCCTTCTGGTGGCAAAAGCCCTCTGTTCTGCTGCCCACGGGTGTCACTTGGGTCCTGAGCAGGACAAGTTGGGGAAGGGCATTGGGTTTGGTCATTGACCTTCCCTTGAGCCTTATTCCCTGCCCTGACACCTGAGCAGGTCATCCTAGGCCTTGGGGCTCCAGCTCTGAGGTGTAAGTCAGCTGTTCTCTCACCCTCCTCTAACTCATTCCCTGTCCCTAAGATGCCAGCCTTCCTGCCCCCACCCAGCTCCAGCTTTCTCAAGGCCCCAGTTGGCTTCCTGGCTCCCTCCGCGGGTTGTCACCTTATTGTCTGATTGCTCCCACTGAGCCATGGTGTCTGCCGCACAGCCACAGTTGGGGTGGGGGAGGGGGCAGAGCTGGGGTGGAGGTAGCTTGTCTGTCAGCCAGCTTCTAATTACAATAATAGCAGCTCCCATGGAAAAGGAGCCCGAGCCCCACACCAAGCCCAGCCCATGGTAACTGAGTACATCACCTGCATTCTCTCATCCGGCTCCCAGCAGCCCAATGGGTTTGTACCACGATTCCTGTTTTACAAAGGAGGGAACTGAGACTTGGTTATTAAGTAACTCATGCAAAATTACAGTGGTAGTGACAGGCCTGGGACGTGAGTGCCAGCACCATTCTCCAAAGCTGCACCATAGGCTCTGGGTCCTGGGTCCCTGTCCCTCTGACTTCCTCTGGATGCCTTGTCTTGAGGAACTAGGGACCAGAGAGAAAACTAGAAGACCAGAGATGGAGGCCCCTGTCCTTGTGAAGCTTCCAGTCTGGTCAGGTGACAGGACCCACACCAGGTGTACACATAGAGAGGGCACCGTTGTTATCATTTTGTTCAGGTGACTGGCCCTGACTTAAGTGAGACCAAAAGAGCAGATGCTGGAATGTTCCTCAACTCGTGCAATGCTCAGCAGCTCTGGCTCCTGGCCCCAGCTACCAGCAGAACCCTTCGGCAGCTCTACATATCTGAGAACCATGAAGCATTGGAAAGGGATCCAGGAGTAGTGACGCATGCCTTAGGAGGCCGAGGCAGGATTGCCATGAGTTTGAGGCCAGCCTGAACTACATTGCAAGACCCTGTCCAGAAAGGGTTAACATGGAGGGGTCCCCGTCCTGAATCTCATAGGCTTGTGTCGGTCCTCTCGTTGCTTACTTTTTGTTTGCTTGTTTGCTTTTTCTTTTTCATTTCATCCAATAATATGAATAGAGCACCTACCAGGTACCTCACCTTACATGATGAAAACACAAAATGGGCCGGGGATTTAGCTCAGTGGTTCTGCCGCCTGCCTCACAAGTGCGAGGTCCCAAGCTCGATCCTTGGTACAAAATAAAAGGAAGGAAGAAAGAAAAAGAAAATACAAAATGAATAAACTGTAGGCTGCTCCTCACCCCAGATGCTACCTCTGTGTGGGATGGGAAGTCAGGCAAACGAGCCCATACGGTGGGAATGCAGGCCCGAGTGAGGTTCACCCAGAGTGCATGGAGGAAACCATCTGGAAGAGAGAGCCCCAGACATCTTTCCTGGTCGGTTTTCCAGCAGGAGCAAAGTGGGGCAAGCAGGTAGGGAGGGTGCAGAGCAGATTGTGGTGGGAAAGGCAGAGGGGAGGGCAGAGTGTGGTGAGAGCAGACTGGAAAGGTGCGAGGGTTGGAGCAGGCTGGCATCACCAGGTCTTGGGAAATTCTGTATAGGAGAGAATTTCTGGGTGTCTGGGCGTGGCTGTAGCTTGGGAGGGAGAAGACAAGGCTGGAGGCAGGAGGACCAGATGGACTCCTGCCTCAGACCAGCCAGAGAGAAAAGAGGCAGCCAGACCTCGAAGGGCGTTGGTGGGGCTGAAAGGAAGAGCGCAGCTCGGAAAGCTGCCCGGGTAGGCGGATCCAGGTGATTAATTGGGTGTGGCAGGGTGGGAGTCATTGATGATGCTGAGGCTTCTGGGAGGTGACTGAGTGGGTGCACGGTGGCAGAGATGCAGAAGGAGGAGCCGAAAGGATGGAGAGCTGAGTTCGACATGTTTCTGTAGGCAGCTGGATGCTGCAGTCTGGGGTTGAGAAGGAAACCATAGATATGAAATGTGGGTGTGACTCCTGTGCATAAATGAGCCTGCCCAGGGGGAGTGTGAAGGGAGAAGGCCCCTGTCCAAGGGGCCAGTCGTATTCAGAGACTCCCCCGTGCAGAAAGGAGTGCCCGGGGAAGAAGGAGATCCAGAAGTAAGTCTTTGTGGAACCCAGGGGGAAAGAAGAGCGATCAGATGTTGAGAAGTGTCATCTGCACTTAATGGGGTCACCCTGATGTGGCAAAGCCAGCTCTCCTAAGTGAGGTTGAGGCAGGGTTTGCAGGTTTGGGGAGATGGAGAAAAGAGCACCCTCGGTGGAGACTGTGTGTTCGCAAAGCTTGGTTGAAAGAGCGGATAGATTGGCCATAGCTAGCCCTGGAGAAGATGTTGGATGAAGATGGAGAATGGCTGAGGAGGTTTCTGTGGGAGGAGTGAGACCAACAGGAAGATTAAAGGTGATCAAGGGGATGAGACCAGAACCCAGGCTGGGTGGAAGGAGAGACAGGGGAGTCCATAGCGCCTGCCCGTGAGGTTTGCAGGTGGCAGACAGGGAGCCCAGGGCGCCCCAGCTCATTGTCTTAGATCTTGCTGGGACTTATCAGGAAGATCCTGCTGCAGAGGGAGGTCTGGAGAGGAGGAGGAGGAGGAGGAAGTTCAGAATCGCTGCCGTGGAGGGTAGGTGAGAGGACGGAGGAAGAGATGAGGAAGGGCTGGCCATGCCACGGTGAGACCCTGCGTGGTGGAGGCACTGCCCCCATCACCCCTCCTCAGGTCCTCGCCCTTCTCTCCAAAGCGGGACGGGCCTCTGCCTCCACCGCTCTCCACAAAATGCTCCGAGCTCAGTCTTTGTCTCAGGATTGATTGCCCCTGGGCTCCCTGCTGCCTCCCACCGGCACCGGGGCATGGCCGCCTGATCCAGAAACTCACTCACAGTGTTACTTCCTGTCTGGGCCAGACAGCCACAGCCCTGGCCCAGGCTGAGCTTACAACCTGTGGGACAGAGGCACAGTAACTAAGGAGATCATTACAGGGGTAACCGGGCTAACAGGCAGTGTGCGTTCGAGGTTGCAGGTGAGCTCCCTGGAGCCAGAACACCTGGGTCCCCACTGTGTTTCTACAAAGTGGTAACTGCATGAACTTGGACGAGCAGGAACCTGAAAAGCACAATATAAGCATGACCTTGTCCTCAGCAGGGAGGTAAAGAGCATACTTACAGAGAAGATACGAGGATTACATATGGTTAATATTTGTAAAGCACTTTTAAAACTCTGGCGAGCACATACCATAGAAAATAGCGTAGATGAGCTTTTTGTTTGTTTGTTTGTTTTGTTTTGGTTTTTGAGAAAGGGTCTCACTATGTAGTTGAGACTGACCTGGAACTCACTATGAAGCCCACGCTGGTCACCAACTCACAGCAATCCTCCTGCCTCAGCCTCCCGAGTGCTGGGATTACAGGCGTGCGCCACCATGCCCAGCGGAGCTTTTTAAATAACACAGTAATGACTGGGAGGTCCCTGCGGGTTGACTGGTCAGGAACAGCTATCTCAAGGCACCAAAGATTCAATAGCACTAGAAGCAGGTTTGGCTTATCCCCCTTTCTCTCTTCCAGAACTGGTCCACTGCCCTGCCCCTTGACAGGTTCTAGGGTGACCGTGGCCTTCTCCCTGCCCCCCAGCCTTTGTGGCACCTGTGGGCAGTGGTGGCAGAGAATAGGTAGAGCAAGACACTGGGTGGGGGACCTCGGGAGAGCCTTGCTGACTTACCCACTCACCTGTCTCTCACAGTGCTGTGTTCTTTGCCACCTACCTGACTCTGGCTTGCTGTTCTGGACCCAGGTATGATAATGGCTTGAGAAAAAAACTCGTGAGAGTAGAAGCAGGGCCTTGAGGGTCCTGGCCCCAGCCCTGCCTGCCATCCCCCATGTCTCGACGCCCTTGAGAGGGATCCGAACCGCTGACAACCAGACCTGTCCCCCCTACCCCCGCACCTCTGAGGTAGGGGGAGGGCAGATGGACAGATGGAAGATGTGGGGGTGTGGCTGAAGGAAGAGGCTCTGAGGAGTGTGGAAGGGGGTGCAGAGACCCCTGCTTGCAGTGGCAACTCTGCTGGGAACGCCTTGGCTTTCCTTACAGGAGACACTTCCCCTGGAACCTGATCCTGTTGACCATCTTTGTAAGCGGCTCCGTGGGCTGGGGACAGATGCTGAGTGGGGTGGAGGAAGGATTGAAGCATGTGGACTCTGAGGGTTGGGGAGTCTGGGTTGGGAACGTCTCGCAAGGTCACCGGGGGTCAGGGTTGTTTGCACCCCCGTTCCGCCAGAATGTTTCACCCTCCCTTTCCAAACGGGCTGAGCTACCTCCCTCTGCCCCCACTGTTCACTGTGCTTTTGTTCTCAGGAGGCTCATCGGGGGCATCCCAGAGCTATGACAAATGAAAAAAAGTGGGTCTCTTACTAGGGGGAGAAGCAGGGCTGCCCAAGAGAGAAAGAGACAACTGTCCCCAGGACTTGCAGACTGGCCTGTGAGACACTGCTCAGCCAGCCTGGAGTCTGATCATAAGCCTGTGATTCAGTGCTGAGGGGTTAGTGGAGGTAGACTCCCAGATGTCCTGGAACGTTCCCTCACCTTGCGTCTCCTTTCAGACCCTGTCCATGGCCTACCTCACTGGGATGTTGTCCAGGTAAGGGGGACAGGTGCAGGGAGAAGAGGGCCCTGCACTCAGGGACTGGCCGTACTCTGAGGGGAGCTACCCCAAAACCCGTCCTTCCTGGGAGCATTTGGCTGGGGGGCGGCTCGGGCAGCAGGACACTTTGGCCTGGAACCCTCTTCTGGGATGCTCACTTGACCAGTGTCTCCAGGACCTGGCCAGGTTGGTGGGGTAGGGGTGAGGAGTGGTGGCAGCAGAGTGACCTCTCTCAATCTGCGACTTAGAAGGCCCCAAATGTATGATCCTGCAGTTATCTCTAAACCACCTCTCCTAGCGCAAACCCTTCCCACTCCCACTCCCACCTATGCAGGACCCTTCTAGCTAACAGTGAGTCTAGGCACGCTTGGGCAAGGATGGGCCAGACCCATCCTGGGGGAACCGAGAGAAGGAGGGTCCTGAGGAAGGAGACAGGGTCAGGGCTAGAGGCCATCAGATCAGGGCCTGGAAGGAGGGCTGGCAGCAAACAGAGTCCTGTGGCAGCTGACAACGCCCACCACCCTCAGTTACTACAACACCACGTCTGTGCTGCTGTGCCTGGGCATCACGGCCCTCGTCTGCCTCTCCGTCACGGTCTTCAGCTTCCAGACCAAGGTCAGCTCTGAGGCCTGGGAGCAGGAGAAAGCATGTGGGATAGGGCTCCAAGATGGGGCCTGGGATAAGGGGAGGTGACGGGGTGAGTTGGATCTGGGAGGCTGGGGGGAAAGGCTGGGTTCTGGGGGGTGGGTTTAAGACCATGAGCCTCAGCCTGCAGCTAGTACACTGCCCAGGGGCTCCACGCAGCCGGGGACCAGGGCTGACACCCCTCTTGTCCTGCAGTTTGACTTCACCTCCTGCCAGGGTGTGATCTTTGTGCTGCTCATGACCCTCTTCTTCAGTGGACTCATCCTAGCCATCCTCCTACCCTTCCAATACGTGAGTCTCCACCTGCAGGCTTGTGGCGGGTGGGGGGAGGACGCTCTGGAGTGTTGTTCCCTCCTACACCTTCAGGGCCGGCCCAGGGCCAAAGCCCCGCCACCTGCCATCCTGTCCAGCCCCTCCTGGCCCCTGCCCTGGACATGTTGGCAGTACTGTAAGCAAGCAAACAAGGAGGCCTTTCTTGGCGGGCCTGGGCACCGGCCCATCTCCTGGAGCCGCATCCGGCTTCACCTTCCCTGTCCTCCTGTGTACAGTGGAAGGGAGTCTGAGGGGAGGATATGGAGCAGCCTGAGCCTTCCTGGGGCCCACCAGACCTAGAGGGGCCTTCAGGAAGGACCTCCTGGGCTCCTGGATGAGGTGGCAGTACCAGAGCAGACCCCCACCCCATAGAGCAGCCCCCAGCTGGAGCTTTACTCTAGAAGCATCCAGCCTGTCCTGAGGAATGTCACCTGGGACTGCACAGGCGCTCGGGCCACTACATGTGGGAGGGAAAATGAGGGGCATCCCAGGAGGGCCTTGAAGTTTGAATCCTAGGTACCCACGAGAAGAACCCCCAACTACTTTTGGTACCTGGTCTCCCATCACGCCTTACTGCCAGAGCTGCCATAACCCTCACTCCCCCTTCCTCACTTCCATCCTGCCCTGCCCCAGCCTCAGGACATTTGGCTTCCAGTCCAGGACTTCAAGATTGGGTCTGGCATTTCCTTGGCTCTTCCCAGGATCCTGTTGACGAAGGGAGGGACCAGAGCTGGCTTGGGGCCCTCTGTGTATCTAGGTTGGGGAGAGCAATAACAGGAAGGGGCCCCAAAACTTCAAAGAACCCTTTATTGACCCAGGTCTGGTTGATACAATTCCTTTGTTTCCTGGAATCTTCTCGAAAGTTTCCTGGGAGAGCCACACTGAGGGCAAAGCTAGCATGCATGGTACCTCCTGCGTGCAGAGTTTCCATACGCAGCTGGGTGCTCCTGAGGTCTAGGGAGCAGAGTTCAGGAATACACTGTCATGGCCTTGGCAGACAAGCCCATATACACGTGGCAGCAGCGCGTGGTGGCGCGCACGCCTGTAATCCCAGCACTCAGGAGGCTGAGGGAGGAGGATCGCTATGAGTTCGAGACCAGCCCAGACTACAGAGTGAGACCCTGTCTCCAAAGAAAAGAAACACCAGACCCTCCAGAGGCACCCCCGCCAAACACACACACACAACCTGAGTTCATGTCTTGGTCCCTTACCATTTAAGCCCCTTGCCCCCAGTGCAGAGCCAGGGAGGAACAGCAGGCTGGGAGGCAGGAACAGCCGTGAGCCAAACTCAGGCTGGGGGGATGACAGGGCCACAATAGGATGAGTTTTCCTCATTCATCCTGAGCCTGGGGCTGTGACCTGCAGGAAAAAGCACTAGGGTCAGCTGGGAGCTCTGTGATTATCCTGTGAGCTCCCACCCATCACCATGCGCATCCAGAGAATCCAGGAATTGGGGAGCCCTGGGGAGGACTACCCCATATCCTCCATTCTCTGGACTGAACCTCCTCCCAGCACCTCTGACCATGCCTGAGCCCATTTTTCCTCTGCCTGGCAGGTGCCCTGGCTACACGCAGTCTACGCCGTGCTAGGAGCGGGTGTGTTTACATTGGTGAGTTTGCCTCAGCTCCCTGGGGGCCACCTTCTCCACGTTGAGATCCTCTCCCGGACCCCTCCACCACCCCTGTCTTCCTCACTGTCCCCGAAATCCCAAAATCCCTTCTGGAGTGCCTGTGGGCATTTGGGGAATTCTGTCTGCCAAAGACAGAAGGAAGCACTGACCCTAGCAGTGGGGCAGGAAGGTGGTGCCGGGTGGGGGTGAGCGTGTAGGAGGGTCCTACATGGAAACCAAGTTAGTATTGTTCTCCTAGGGCATCTGGGAAGGCTTCTTAGAGCTAGGGAGATTCCAGAATCCCTTTAAGAAAGCGGCATTGTTTGAGTGAGCTTGTTTTTTGCCGTTCTCACCAAATTGAGTGCTGTTGGTGATGATGATGGTGGTGGTATGCTATCAATGACAGCTAATATTTATGGAGCACTTACTGGCTCCCAGCAAGGTTTCCACATAGGCCTCATTCCCACCCTGTGTAAGACAGGGTCCACTACCGCTAAGTTGAGATGAGGAAACTGAAGCTCATCGCAGTGAAATGCGCGCCCAAATTCATACAGCGCCCTAGGAAGTGCTAGAAGCAAACTGAAACTCTTGGTGGTCTGGCTCCAGAGTCCTACTCAGGGTCAGAGGCGAGGTGGGGAGAGCTTGGAAGCAGACGCCCAGGAGACAGAGCTGACCAGGGACAGACTCCTGCCAGAGCAGCCTGACTGCTCACATGGCCTCCGGACTCCTGAGTGAGATAGTGCCCCGGCATCCAGCCAGGTGGTCAGAGAGATGGTGATGTCCCTGTCCAGAGTAAACACCCACTGCCAGTGAAAGCAGTGAGGAACGCTCTCCCTTACTAACTCCGGAGCAGTCAGCCGATTGGTCCAAGGCCTCCTGGCAAGACAATGACAAGTCAACTAAGTGTGGGCTTGGTCAAGATCAACATCAAAGACAGCTTATCCCAGTCTGCTCAGGACAGTCTTAGTTTCAGCACTGAAAGTCCCACTTTTGGGTGAACCCTAAAATCCCAAACTGGATAAGCAAACTGGATGCTCAGTCACTCTACGACACTCACTTCTCCTGGGTCCTGGACAAGTATTCTTACCTCCAGACCATCCTTTTCAAATAAAAAATGTACTTTAAGGGCCAAGGATTTAGCCCAGCGGTGCTGCCACCTGCCTTGCAAGAGCAAGGACCCGAGTTCAATTCCCAGTACCAAGTAAATAAATATGTACTTGAAAAAGATGGGTGAGAAATGGGGCTTTGAGGAAAGAAAGAAGAGGGTGGCAGCATACAGGACAGCAAGCCTGGAGAGCAGCATCTAGAGGCCTCAGAAGGCAGCAATTGCCGGGCATGGTGGCACACGCCCAGAATTTAGGAGGCTGAGGCAGGAGGATTGTCTCAAGTTCAAGGTCAGCATAGTGAGTTTGAGGCCAGCCTGAACTATATAGCTAGTAAGACTCTGTCTCAAAAAAATGTTTTTAAAAGGCAGACAGCATTTGCCAAGGACAGGAGAGGTGGGAGGTCGGAGCACAGGAGGTGGGAATGGTGGAATTGGAGGAGGGTGAGCATCTGCGGAGGGCTGAGGTCTGTACTTGGGTTCAGGTGGATCGGGTCACATACAAGTATGGAAGCTGTGTGGGGAGGCTGTACATACAAGTCAGGCCTGTATGAATAGTAAGCCCTTAAATCTGTTTAATAATCCCTAGTGTTGTTAGATTAATAAAAATAATCCCAGCCACCTGTTCCACCCATTGCTTTCTGCAAAACACTTTCACACCTGTCAGTATTACCTCATTGGATCTCATCTCCACGACAGCCTGGGAAGAGAGGCAGAGCTGATATAACAAGAATGGCCTTCCACATCAGAAGCCCTGAGTGGTAAGAGGCTGGCACAGAGTCTCACGGCTGGTAAAGGGCAGATCAAGAACCAGGTGTCAGGGGCCAGGGATTTGGCTCAGTGGTTCCACTGCCTATCTCACAAGTGCAAGGACCTGAGTTCGATCCCTGGTATCAAAAAAAGAAATTGAAAAAAGAACCAGGTGTCTTGTGCCCAGCCTGGTGCCATCACCAGTGCCCCTGTAGTCACCCTCAGAGAGGACAGCTTTTGTTGGTTGAGGGCTAGGGAAATCTCCCCAGCAATTGTTCCTCTCTCTCCCCTGCAACATCTGTATAGCCCTCTCTGCTGGGTTGGTCCCATGGGCATGGGAAGATGCTTACAATTTCCCCATCTGAAGAAAAAGCCAACAGCACACTTTTGACTCACATCCCCCTCTAGCTCCTACCCCGTTTTCTGCTCCCTGTAGATGGCAAAACTCCTTAGAAGAGACTCTACACTCCTCGTCCCCACTGCTCTTCTCCCTTTCCCCGCCCATTTTCTTAACTTTTTTTTTTTTTTTTTTTGGTGGTACTCGGGATTGACCCCAGGGCTTCCTGCGTGCTAATTACATGCTCTGCCACTGATACACATCCCCAGCCTTCTCAACTCTCTTAAAAATGCTCTCAGCCAGACCACCAATGGCCTCTGAATCCATTAGCACATCTCAGCTGGCCTCTTGCCTGAAGTTCAGTATCATTTGATGCATTTGTTCATTTCCCTCTCAAGAGTCTTCTTCCCTCAGTGTCAGCATCCTTACCAGCCCCTGCTTTTCTCCAGCCTGTCCCATCTGGATGCCTGCCCTGGCTCCCTGACTTCTCTTTCTATAGGTTTTTTTTTTTTTTTTGTACCGGGGATTGAACTTGGGACCTCGTACTTGTGAGACAGGTGACCTGTGACTTCTCTTTCTGCTCTCTCTCACTAGGGATTTCAGGGCTTTGAATACCATTCTTTATGCTGATGATTGTCAGTTTACATCTCCAGCCTCTGTCTCCCTCCCCGAGACTAGAATGTCCAGGTCCTAGTCACCATTTGAAGTTGTCCAGATTCCTCCAATTTAACATGTGCAAAACTGACCTCCTGCTCTTTCCCTGGCCGTCTGTTTCTGCCACAGCTTTCCCCAACTCCCAGTTACTAGGGACAACCATCTCGGTGGCATCCTTGAGTCTTCTACTTTTCTTGCAGCACGTCCCATGGCTCCACCTCCTATCCAGAACCTGACCCCTTCTGTCCACCTTCTGGCCCTCCTAGGTGCCAGGCACCATCACCCTTGCTGGGCGTGTTGCAGTGGCCTCCTACCGCCTGCCCCACAGCAGCTGGGGTGACACAGGTCAGGTGATCCTCATGTGGCATCCATCATGGCTCCACCTCCTATCCAGAACCTGACCCCTTCTGTCCACCTTCTGGCCCTCCTAGGTGCCAGGCACCATCACCCTTGCTGGGCGTGTTGCAGTGGCCTCCTACCGCCTGCCCCACAGCAGCTGGGGTGACACAGGTCAGGTGATCCTCATGTGGCATCCAGGAGCCACTTCCCACAGTACCCCCAGCCTGCCTCTTATCCACTCCCCTTGAGCCCTGCTGGTCTTGCACCCCGGCCCAGTGCTCCTAGCTCTCTGTCTTCTCCAAGGGTTGAGTCAGCACAGCAACGCTGTGCACCCAAGCTAGTGCTCCCCTCCCCTTCCACAGCGCTCTCATCCTCTGACACACTATGTATTTTTCTGTTCTGTTGTTTATTGTTCTCTCTGTAGCAAAATGTAAGTTCCCTGAAAGCAGGGGATTTTGTCTGGCTTGCACAGTAGGCACCTAGCACACACTAGGCACCTGCCCATGTTGGGGAAAGAATGGATGCCTGAGAGGTGTGGCAAGGAGCAGGGCCAGGCCCCCACCAGGTGCTCGGATGTCATTGTCATGGGTTACAGAGTTGAATGAGGCACCGCTTCATCCGTCTCCTTCCTGTGAGTCACAGCGGGGAGGAGGAGAAACTGCTGTGCCCAATTATTCCATTAATGTCTCTTGAGATGAACACACCAGAAAGCCTTGATGGGATCACCCTGCAGGTTACATAAAGAGTGGATGAGAAGGCTCATGGGTAGATGTATCTAAACAGAGGGTGGAAGATGGTTACCCAAGATCCCGCCAGATTCACTCCGCTTCTTCCTCCTAGTTTTGGGCAGACAGGGACCATTTGAGGCTGCCTCATAAGAACTGAAATCCCTGTGCCTTTCATTGACCCCAGCTCAGAAACATGTTTGGGCCTTGCTCGCACCAACTCTGCTTCTGTCATTGCTCTAGCGAGTGTGCAGGGTCTGCAGTCTCCCTTGTCCCCTTGTTTTCCACCTGCCTGTCCTGTCTTCTCCTTCCCTAGCATCTGGGGGGATTCTTGGCATAGTCCGGGGCTCTCCTAGCACTGTAGCTAGGCAAGAACTGCAGTCTACCCTCAGCACATCCTTGCCCCTTTTGCTGTGTCATCTAGAATGTCCAGGAAAGGGGCCAGAGGCCCCTGGCCCCCAGTAGGACCTTCTCTAGCAGCTCCCATCAGCCTGAGCTACAGGGAGTGGGAGAAGCCGATTTTCTCTCTTAGAAACCTTGGCCTCCACCCTGAGATTCTGCCATCTTTGAAGGCGGGATCATCACTGAACTGGGCTGCAGTTTAGGAGGAGTCCAGCCTTGAGGAACAGGCACCCTCTTAGGCTCCCCCCACAATCCAGGCTTGGCACATTGTAAGGAAGCCTTGGGTGTTCAGCCTCACCCATGCCCCCCACTGGGTGTCAGAACTCAAACGCCAGTGAGAAGTGCGTGAGTCCGCTGAAAGTCATTGGCCTTGGAGTGACTGCATCCTTCTCTCTCCACTAGGGCCCTCTCTTTCGGTGTTTTTGTTTTGTTTTTGTAGACACTTATGGGCTGGGGTGATCAGGGAAGGTTGAGAGGCTGGGGCAGGATCTGAGAGAGGGTTGAGGCCAAAGACCTGGTAGCTGGTTTTTAGCAATGGCTGGGGCCCCAGGGTCCGTGTGATTTAGAAAGTTGCTTCCTTCCAGAGTTGGATCTTCTGAGCTGCCCAAACCAGGAAGTCAAGTCCAAATAGGGAAGAAATTAGGCATAAGGATTTAGAATTGAGGTGATGGGTCCTCTGATATTGGAGCTC